CTGTAACGGCTAGGGGGTTAGGGATTTTTTTGGGGATTTTGGGGTATCCGAGTTTTATGCCTATATTATACATATTCATTAATTAAAAACATAAACAAAAGCCTAGCCTAAATGCTAGAGTTATGACCAACCTTACCTCGGGGGACACCTGTTCAAGCCTCTAAACCACCTTAATTTTTTTTATTTTTCTTCAACATATCAGAAAAATGGGTTAATTCATGATTAAGTCCCTGAACTTCCCAAATTTTTGAAACTAGCCTAAGAATATCAAAATTTCATAATTTATTAGTCCAAAAGTTTATTAAAATTTTAAACTGAAAATTGGGGGTGTGACAGCATTACCCTAAAAAGGTAAGATAGAAATAAATAAATAAATAAGTTTAAAAAGAAACCAAAATCAATCATGCTTCTCAAATAGATTGGATAAAGCATTCAAAACTTTAGTACTTAAACTATTAGTTTTTTCAAAATCATACCTAAGCTTAGTGTTTATTTTATTTTAGTACCATGTCATTAAAAACTTTAATTTTTGTTTCATTTTAGTACCCTCGTTCAAAATTTAGCGTTAAGTATTAAAAAGTTGAAAGTTTATGTAACACCCCCAACCCGTATCCGACCCAGATCTGAGGTGTCACATTGACTTTTCAAAACTTGTCTATTGTATAAAATCATTAAAAAACTAACTTTCATTAAATAAAATTCGTTATTTTACATAAAATAAAAATGATTTGTATTTCATAACCTATCAGAGCATATCCAGTACAACTCTTTTAGTACATGCCAACTAAATAAAACCAAATACATATAATTCATAAATTCTTTTCTGATATGAACTTCGTAAATGAGTAGATGACCTGTCTTGCTCATCTTAGCTCCTCTTCTTGCTTCTCAAAAACCTACATGTGAAACATTCACACGCTAAGTCTATGACTTAGTGAGGCATATAAAATGTATAATATAACCGTGACTTCTAACAATGAATGCATGTTTTCCACTATTATATCAAGTAATCTCATAAACCCTTCCACATAATGAACACATGAATACTTATACATCATCACATCATCTATGTTTATATACTATTTCATGTTCACATAATTCTTTAGTTCACAACTTCATTATATATATACTTATATTTATGGAGTTCATAACACTACTCATATAATTACTCATAATATTTCATATAAGTTCAACCTATTTTCTCATGATCCAACATATTGAGCAATCATAAATTATAACATTAAACTATATAACATATGCAATACATTCAACCCATACACTCATGTCCAATTACACAATTATTTAACAATCATATTACTTCTTATTTATATTATATCTTTATTGACCCATGTGCACTGTCGAGAACTAAAGATATGTGAGTCTATTGAGGTTGTACACTAATGTTGTCACCACAGCTCGTATAAATGTCCCGAATGACCTATCCAGAGGTCATAAAGAACCTCGACAACTATCCATAGGTCCCAAAGAACCTAGGTAAATTGTCCATATGTTCCTTAGAACATAGGTAATCATGTCCATATGTCCCGAAGGACATAGGTAACACTGTCCATATGTCTCGAAAGACATAGGTAACCCTCAACTCTTGGCATGACAACTATACCTCTAGCTCTCAATTTCTATACATGGGTAGTACCATTTATTTTTATCACATCTTCACAAGTACACATTGATCACTAACATATCACATATCTCGTGTAATTTCTTATGAAATCACTTGTGGCATGTAGCACATATAACTCATATACTTTCTTGTATGCTCACATAGCTCATATTACTTAATCTCTTATGATCATTTCATATGATTTCATAGTTTAATAATTTATTCACTTATGTCTTCTCATAAACGTATGCTCTTACCACTTCTTGTCATATTGTTCACACTACAATATTTCACATTCATTATATCAGGTAGCTTTTACCACATATTCATATAGACACTTAACATTTCATACATACTCACATCTTTCATGTTCATACATTCCATTATGCTCTTATCATATATCTTATAACAATGATTATATTATTATGGATATCATTATTCTCATTTAATCATATAGATCATTTATATTAGTTCATATGGCTTATCACACTACACGTATTCACATAAATCATATAACACCTACCATAACATATATCACAGATACTCAGATCAAACACTTGTATATAATCATAAACTCATACATTCTAATATAGGAACTAGACTTATCGCAATTCTTAGTTCCATTAAACCTCTTATAATAACTAATAAGCACTCATCTGGCCTCACTAGTCAATATTGATCTCTTATCGTTCCTTGATTGATCTTACTTGTCCAATATTCCGGAACTCATCTAAGCTCGATATCTACATAAATATCAGATTTAAGGCAATTGTCAGATCCCTAAACCTTGAAATTTAATACTGATAGCTTAAATGAATTTAATGAACCATAATTCACTTTTTCTCTTAGGGGTGTACCGATGCACTATTGGTGCATCGGTACACAAAATAGCTTCAAAATTACCATGCATCTTCCTTCCAGTGTGCATCGATGCATATTCAAAATTGTTCTTAGTGCATCGGTACACATTCATAGTGCATTGATGCACCTTCCCAGAATAGGCTGTTTTTACCCGAAAATTATCAACACTCCACCCAATTTTCCAATATTAAGCCCTAATTATGCTACCAAACTTAACTATAATCACTTTAACCAACTTCTATCATTTCAACACCTTATTTTCTTCCATATATTTCCCAAATCCTTAAAACCAAGAATCTTACCATATTTTCCATGTTATCCAAACTTAATTCTTACTCTTATAACTTCTTATTCTCATAGATGACAACTCAAATTCAACTTCCAAATTCATTTAAACCTTCTATTTCAATAATTCACTTAAAAACTCTTTTTACTTAATCTCTCCTAACTTCTTCATTCTTTGTTTTTGAGATGGCTTAAGCTTTCCTTAAGCTTAAGTATCACCTAAGGATCAAACTCTTCTCTTAAAATCAACAAATAATCAAACAACCAGAAAACTTACCTTTGCTTTAGTGCTTCCCGGTGGAGCAGAGAAGTCTAGAAACTCTTCTTTCCTACACATGCCCCACGTGGGTATATAAAAATATCCTCAACCAATATTTAATTAATTTCCTTATCCAAAGAACTATTTGCCCATTTTTCTTTTCCTTCATTTCCTAACTCATCCTTAAAATATTTCAATTAAACCCTTGAAATTTTTAACTTATTTCGAAATTGAGCATCAATTTTTTAAAATTTGCATTATAGTCACTGACCCATCTTTTGGGATGTTACAATTTAGGTACTAAATTAGGCCAAAACTGATAGTTTAGGTACTAAACACATTGAGTTTTTAACGGCATTGTACTAAAATGAAATGAAAACTAAACATAAGGTGTGATTTTTGAAAAAAATTAAAAGTTTATGTACTAAAATAGAACAAAACTGATAGTTTAGATACTAAATATGTAGTTTACCCAAATAAAAAATAATGTTTGATCATTTATATTATCGCTTTATAATGGTTTGATTACTTACGTTGTCAATTTATAATGATTTAATCAATCACTTAGAAGTTAAATATCATTAGTTTGATGACATGACATATCAATAAAAGAGTTAATTTTTAATTTAACTCTTAAACTTTGGGTAAAATATCAATTTGACCCATAAAACTTGTTAAAGTCACAAGCCATCTGTTGCTATTTACCACCACTGTTAGTCACGGTCGACCGCCATCGGTCATTGTCACCGACAACTATTAAACACTGTATATCTAACTTAAAAACCTTGAATTCTTTTAAAATTAAATAATAATAATAAATTTATTATTAATATTCTTTTAAAATTTTAAAATAAGAACACTAAAAATGTAAGGGTAAAGAATGCAAATGGTCCCTCGACTATAGGATACTGCTTTATTAAGTCCATTGACTATTCGAAGTTACAAAATGGTCCTTCGACTATAGAGTGCTACTTCGTTGAGTCCCTCGATTATTTAAAGTTACAGAATGATCACCCCGACTATTCATTATGTTCTAAACTTGTCATTTTCCATTAAAAATGGACGATATTATGAGTTGAACGTTAACTTGTTGTTTGTGATATGATAAAATTTGATCTCAAAATTTCAAACGACTATTATATCTCAGTCATCATGTTAACATCCAGCTTAAATAACAATCAATTTTTTAATGGAAGGACGAGTATGCAGCATAATAGTCGGGTGACCATTTTGTAACTTTTAATAGTCATGTACTCAACAAAGCAATACTTCATAGTCGAAAGATCATTTTGTAACTTTTAATAATCAAAGTACTTAGTAAAGCAATACCCTATAATCGACCATTTGCATTCTTTACCCAAAATATAAATATATAATAATAAAACCCATAACTTTTGATTATAAGTGCTCAAAATTGTTGCTTTAATGAAACATCTTTCTATTATCATCTTTCTTCTTTTGGGACTTTAAGTTGGTTCATTCAGTTAGCGTCGCATCCTAAGGTTGCTTATCTTTATCAAATTTGCTTTCTTTTAATTTTTATTTTGGTAAACTACACATTTAGTATCTCAATTATCACTTTTGTTCCGTTTAGGCATCCAACTATTTTTTGTTTCGAAATGATATTTAACGTTACATTTTGATTTCGTTTTAGACATCCACAATTAAAAAATTTACAGTGATGCTGAAGTGTTATCATAAGGTAATATCACATCATCTTTGAATTTTTTTAAACATAACCAAGTCTAAGGGACCTAGACCTAGATACGCCCTTGATGCCTAAAGTTATGATGGTTATTTATAGATTAAAGAATTTATAGTTATTACTATTAAATAACAAATTTGATTTTGATAAATCATGTGTGTAACGACCCAAGCCTAACCATGCCTAACTGTGGTTAAGAATTAAGGCTAAAATCGCTTCATACATCGTATGAAGCCTCTACATATACACCTGTAAATATGCCCACTTGATATACAAAATTTCTTTCCTTTTGGTTGAAGACGATGATGCCAAATCCAAAACAAATACAAACCATCAATGGAGTTGAAGATGAAGACACAGAGATTAGCATTTTCGATGCCCAGAGATACTTCAACGAAACCAACACCACCGATGCAAGATTGTGTAAAAGAATTTCTCCGGTGAAGGATCCTCTTTCATCGGAGCTCCGCTGTGATATTCCCGCCTCGACGTTAGCCGGTCGATTCTCGGCGGCTGCCGATGGGTATGGTTATGGCACGAGCCACCGTGCTCGTTCCTTCCATGCAACACCAACGGCTTCATCTGAGGCTAGTTGGAATAGCCAGACTGGTTTGTTATCGAATCCACTCGGCGCTGTAACATGAAGACTCCTAAAATATCCGATCGAAAGACAAAAGGGTGTGGTAAAATGAAGTGGCTTTGGGGTCGGAGGTGTCCGTGCTCCGGCAAGAAGTCCGTTCAAGTCGAGCACGAAACACCCTCGGGTTCGAATCAGAAACACAATATCAGACACCATGATCAGATACTATTAGCCTGTAATCCTCACAGGATCTCAGCGGATAATATTCAGTTTCGTTCCGGCTTAGAACACCGTGTGATTGCTTCGGCAACCGCAAGACGGCCGATGATAAGCGACGGCTCCAATGGTACTACTGCCGTCGGTTTCACGTTTCGGCAACCGCAAGACGGCCGATGATAAGCGACGGCTCCAATGGTACTACTGCCGTCGGTTTCACGTTTCCAATACTCAACCAACATGATAGAAACCCTAATTCACTCGATGATCACAACGATCCACCTCGAGCCTCGTTGGAGGTGTTCAGACCAGCCGACGATGTAGTTGGCAGCGATACCAGCTCGGACTTGTTCGAAATTGAGAGCTTTTCGGCGTCGAATCCACCGTACCACCGCCGGGATTCGTTGGACGAGGCGTCCAACTTCAACATAATAAGATCGATAGGAGCTTCTGGCAATGTCTCGGGGTTCAGCTGCACCTATTCGCCGATGACCGCCGAGTGTTACGAACCGAGCGAGGCGAGCATAGAGTGGAGCGTGACGACGGCGGAAGGGTTCGAGAGAGGATTGGAAGCGGAGGAGATGATGAACATGAACATGAGGGTTGGCAATGGTGGTGGTGGTGGGAGGAAGAGATCGGGGTTGTTGAGCTGTCGGTGCGAGAAGGCGGTGAACGTGGGGCCAAATCCGGTAAAGTACGTGCCCCCTCACGGACAGGCAGCGGCCTCATCAAAGCATGTGGCCAATGTGAACAAACCACCGCTTGCCCCTTTGTCTCTGCCTTTTGGTGCATAATACATCTTTTCTCTTCTCTATTATTTCATATATTTTGTGTGCTCTTTCTTAATTGTCTTACTTTAAAATAAGCGTAAAAACTATACTTTTTTTCTCAAATAGATGTTCAAATTTTTTTAATCATCCTAGTACTTAACATTACAAAAGTTATCACTTCAGTTGCTCAGGTCGTAACTGTCATTAAATTTCTCCCTTAAATAGCACGTGTCACATTCTGATAATTTTGAAAATATTATTTAAAAAAATATTATTATATTTATAAAAAAACTCAATTTCTCTTAAATTACAAAAATCTCTAAAAATCCTAAATCCCTAATCTTAACTCGTTGAAGTCATCCTTGTCGACCACGGTTCCTTGTTATCTTCCTAGTCATATGCTGTTATATTTACCGTCGATTGGCCTTCAAGATCACTTGAGGTCGCAATTTGCAGCGTAGGGTTCATCGGGTACACACGTCGATTGATCATGATTTTGTAAGTTATCGATCGTCAGGTGGAGGTGAGGCCTATGGAGCTTCATCAATGGAAAAGGGAGGCGGCCGATGTGGGTTTAGGGGTTGAAATCAGGGTTTTCAAAGTTTTGGGACTTTAAAGTATTTCAAAATTTGTATATTTTTTAATATATATAATTTTAATTTTTTAATTTTAAATATTTTTTAAATTATTGGAATGTAACATGTGTCCTTTAATGACATAATTTAACGGCAATTATAGTCTGAACACCTAAAATAATAACGATTGTAATGTTAGACACCTGAGTGATTTAAAAAAAATTTAAACACATATTTAAAAAATGATATAATTTGAAGACTTATTATTTTTAAAAAAAGCCTTCTTAATTCTTATACCAAAATTTACCCATGTTATCGTTGTGGTTGTAGTTATGGGGTGCTCCTTTCCCATCATTTTTTTTATCTATTTGTTTACTTTAGTCACAACTTTCAGCTCCAAATTGTATGAATAAATTATAGGAGTACTAAATATTTCTAAATTACAATATGTAATGTGTGTGTACACTTTAATAGGGTTAGCATATCGATTTTATGATTTTATATTTTCATATACTATTAATATAATAAATGTTGTCATATTATTAAAAAAATAATAATGTTAGTTTTTTTTATAACAACTCATTATTTAATTTACTAACTATATATAAAGTTATACATTGTTAATATATTTGTTGGTGAGATTAAATCAATTAATTGGCGATTCATCTTTTTTGAAATAAGTAAATAATCATATGCGATGGTAGATCAATCATTGATCGATGTTAGAATATTCAATCCCCATGAAGAGTTAGAGAAGAGAAGAGTTAAGGTGAGGTGATTTCATTGAGATTGTATCACGTCTCTCGATCATGCTCGAAAAGTTAAATAGAGACTTGTTAGTGAGTGTGTCAGTCACATGTTATAATGGCTACTTTATAAGTTGGCAGACTAAGTGAATAGTATCATAAGGATGACGATTTGGTTCGAGTAAGTCATGTAGACGTGTTAGAAGTCATGTCTACTAGTCACATATTCTAAAAGTTTAACTCTTTGAGACCTTTTCTCTGTGGATGTTCCCTTTACATCTTCTGGAGCTTCCTTGATGTTGAAGGGTTAGGTATGCTTTGGGATCCTCCAGTGTTTGCGAGGTGCGTGGATGGTATGTACGGAGAATCTTTAGCGGGTACCATATATGTTTCTTTTGATTGAGGGAACATCATAAAGTGATTTGACCCGAAATTTAGCCGTTGAAGCATTACAAAGTTTTATTAAATCATTTTTGAGAAAACGACACAATTATTTTATTGAAAAATAATTTTATAATAGTTAATAAATTTAGATTAAAATTAATTTGAGATTATTTAATTAATGGATTTTTGGATATTTGAATTTTGTGTTTGGATATTTTATTAACTAATATTGAATTTTGTGTTTGGATATTTTATTAACTAATAAAATAAAGGAAGCCCAGACCATGGATCCAAAAATCAGGCCATGTTCCATCTTATAGTATAGTATGCGCTAAGTTGATTGCTTCCTAAGCAAGTGGGCTAACTTTACTTCCAAACAAAGTAATCATACCCTAGGTTTAATCAAAATGTTTCATGTCTCTCCCGATATATATAGGGTGAAGATCCACTCACACTCAATGTAATATTAAGAGTTTTACACTTTTCTAAGATCATTGGATCGAGGTAAATCAAAGATAAGATTAACTCATTGTTTCTTTTTTTTCCTCAACAAATATCTTCTCATTTTCTATTGTTAATTTTAACATTTGATTTTTCTCATTCAATGGTCCTAAAAAGGTGTAAAACTCTTAGTTTTATACTGGGTGTAAACAGATCTTGCCCGTATATATATTAAAACTAGAGAATAGTATATGTTATGGACGCATATGTTAAAAGTAGAGAATAGTGGACTGAAATAATAATAGGAATTATTTAGATTAGTTGAATTTTTTTTATACAAATTAGAGAATTTTTCTATATTCAAATTTTAAAAAGTTGTAGCATGTCACGACATAAGATTCTGAAACAAACATATACTAGATTACGAATTATATTCTTATCTGAATATTACCCTTGATCTGTTTCTAAAGATAAATTTTTAAACTTTGGTTGTGTTTTTTTGGGGTAAACTACATTAGATATCAATGAACTTTAGATGTTGTATCGTTTATATCACTGAATTTTCAATTTTATCAATTTTAATCTGAACTTTGATTTTTGTTTCAATTATACCACCGAACTGTTAAATCATTAATGACACAATGACATGACTTACGGCTGCCCAAAACGACGTCATTTTGATTCACCTGTTAATGATTTAACGATCTAATGGTATAATTGAAACGAAAATAAAAGTTCAGTGTTATAATTGAGAAACTTGAAAATTTAGTGGTATAAACGATATAACGACTAACGTTCGGTGGTATCTCGTGCGGTTTACATTTTTTTTCTTAATTTTTTAAGTTGAGATTAACATTAACGTGAGATAAAATTAAATATATAAAAAAGAGATGAATATGATAAAGGAAAAATCGTGTACTAGCGTAAAGTATAAGATTTTGTAATATGTACTCTAACAAATGCATTCAAAGGTTATCTTTGAGGATAAAGGCGTATCCAAAGTCTCAGCCCTTGGCCTTTAAACTATTGTCAAAACTATCATAGTTGAACTTCTGCCAATGAGCTGGATATTTAACACCATCCATGTTGTTTTTAGCCCCCATTTCCATGTCTAATTTATTGTCATTGTGTTCGCATGTTGTGAGTACTATAAAATATACGCAAATAATGTGCAAGTATACACAATCGCTCAAGTAATATAATGATGAGTGAGTATCGTCTCCACAGGGATTGGGTGAAATTACGAAAGTCTAACCAAAGCAACGCACTAAATTATCTAAGTATAGTTAGTCTTGATATATACAAATGTCACGGCAATGGATATGTGTATGCTGGTGGATGCGGATTGATGGTGTGATGGTGTAGCAAATGGAAATGCAGTGGCAATGATGGATGTTTAATATTGAGTATGGTGAAATGTCAAGGCAATGAAAAATGGTAAAAACAGTAAATAAAAAGATAAATAAAATAAGAAGAAAATAATCCTCACGTGACAAGCTTCCAATGAAATGAATGGTAAGGATTGGTCTAAGGTTGCTAAACTTATTTCTCAAGTATATTTAAGCTATCTTGTCTTTACTTACTCGACAGAGCTTTCCTAAGGTGTTCAAAAGAACCTAACATAATAGGATGCCAAGGCATATGCTCTCACTCAACGATGTTGGACAGCCTACCCTATTGATAAAAACACCCTTTTTAGTCGTTGAAATCCTATCCTAGTCTCTTCCGAGATCTAAGGGATTAAGTTATAATATTCCTAGGCCGGTTCAAAGCCCCTTGAAAATACCATAACCCATTGCTTATGAGGATCTTATCTTGCGTTTCTTCCGAATACTTACAAGTATTTTTAGCTTAGGATTCTTCCGAATACCTAACCTTCATCTAAAAGATGGACATTTCCATGCCTCTTACAAGCCTAGATGGTGAAGCATTCATAAGCAAAGCAAATAAAGAACCAAAATAAACTTAAATATACTATTGAAAATAAAGTTCAAACAACCATTCAACCAACCACCACCAAATAAGTTAGTTCATGGTGGGGTTCGAAATATCCAAACACAAAGTCATGAAAATATTCGTTCCAACAACCCATAAAATAATATAAAAATAGCAGCAAAAAGGGAAGTAAGAAGAAGCCTTCGACGCGCCACCGGAGGTCTCCTCTCGGCCACCACGAACCACCTAGCTCGCTAGCTCCTTCCGATGCCTAGCTTGCCACTCCTTGGAGCTTTATCAATGGAGGAATATTCCCAAGGAAGAATAAAGGAAAAAAGAAAATAAAAATGTGATTTTTCTGCTCTATACGTGTGATCTTCGTCCTCATGTCTCTCTCTCCCATGAGGTGTCATATATAATAAATAAAATATCTAGGGGTAATGATGAGTTTGTTGGGTGCAAAATACCCCTCATACCCCTAGAATCACATGTTGTGCATGAACCTTATCCTCCAAGTGGCAGTGGTCCATTGGCAGCTCTGGCAGGCAGTTACAGCAGTCATTCACGTGCAGAGACAGCTGTCCAGTGCCAGCTGTCCTTATGCAGAAATATCTTTTCGTCTTTTTCTGCGCCAGAAATGCCAAGGCATTTCAATCTGCTTTAGCAACGTGTGATGCCGCAGCATTACTTCCCAAAGAATCCTTTTTCTTGCTATTCCCTGCACACCATAGACAAACTGCACCTTTCCCTCAAACAGCACCATTAAGAAATAAAATAGCACAACCACCACAAATGCAACTATATGCAACTACATGATCCTAAAATGACTAAAATGAGCTTTTAAACACACAATAACTTAAGTGAAAAAGGCTTTAAAAGTAGCCTTTTTAGGAAGTTAACACACCCCCAAACTTAAGCTATTGCTTGTCCTCAAGCAATGGATAGCAGTTACATAAGCATAATGTCATGGCAAAGTTCGATAGTAAGACAGTAGGACAAAATTGAATTTCAACCCTCAGAACGATAGGCTTCAACATGCTAGACTTATCAAGAATTCAAGTACTTT